ATTACGTAAGTGGCTTTGAACCACACTTCATTTTTTTCTTTTCCCGGAGTTTATGTTCAAGGGTAAAAAGAGCAAACAGACTGTGTATTTGCCCATCTGTTCAATTGCTTGTGAAAGACCTTTAAAGGTCTTTTAATATATCACTCCCCTGCTGGTTTTTTTTTAAGAAGTGTTGTTTTTATTGGCATTCTTTAATGATTTCTTCTAAAACTTTGTGATTTTCTTCAGCAAATTGTAAGCTACATCTAATATATCCAGCTTCCCCCACTCTCCTCCTTTATAGCTAGTTTTTTTTGTTTTGTATTTTTTAAGACTTTAGCAGGAGCCAATAAAACAGAAGGAAAATTAAGATTCAGTTAAACTAGCCCTGAGTTAAGACCCTAAAATTTTTTCTAGTCACTTTCAAGTTGGGAGGAATTTGCTTTGATAGATTCTTAAAAGCAAAATGCAAATGTTCAAAAAACAATTCAGTTTAAATAATTAGAGATTTTTCTGTCCTTCACAAAAAACGGTCTCATTTACCTCTCTTTACCACAGAAAGTGCTCTCTTTCCAGATTTGCTTTATTAATCGTAAGTGTCTTTTTGGAAACATCAGAAATTGGCCTGGTGCATAAAAGTTCACTTTATTTGGAAGTTGAAAGATAATAATAATGATACTAATAATCATCATATTGAGATTCCCTGAAAAGACACTGAGCAGATGTCCCCATCATTCTGTGATCGATCACCTATGAAGAGGTTCATTGGCTCAGCTTTGATTTAAAAGGAAAAGTCTAATAATAGTAATGATGACTTTTCAACACAGAGAGTCCTCTCTTCCATGAGAAAGGAAACAACTCAGTCTGTACAGGCAGGATTACTCCTGCCATGAAATGAACCATCTCAAGGAAGAAACAACTTATATAGATGAGCAAACAGAAAGTGCGATGGATGCCCCTTTTTATTACAAAATCATAAGCATGCAATTCTGTAACATAATACCACGCTCAAACACACCCTATGACATTTTAGGTGAAATGTTCACATTAAAACTACAAAATATTACACCCTTATTATTACCCTACCAACCACACTCAAGCAGGCATCACTTCTGCCAGAACCTGTAGAAATGGACTTCAAATGTATTATATCCCCACCAGGTGACATAATTTTTCTGCCTTAAGAATAATTGGTTCTCTTATTAAGGGCACAGCTTACCAAAATAATGACCTCTTATGGCTTAAAAATCCAGAAAACACGATCATATTTTGCCAAAATACTTGACTTCCCCATGATTTTTTCTCTAGCGTTATTGAGAAATAATTGACAGATAAAATTGTATACATTTCAAGTGTACGATGTGATGATATAATATGCATACACATTGTGAAATTGTGACCAAGATCAAGTTAATTAAACACCCACCCCCTCATATAATTAACATTTTCATGAGAACTAGTAAGACGTGCTATCAGAGCATTTCAAGCGAACAACTCACTTTATCAACTCTAGTCACTTATTGATCTTCAGAACTTACTCATCTTCCCTTAAAATTTTGCACCCTTTGTCCCACATCTCTTTATCTCCCCATCCCAGGCCTGACAACTGCTATTTCTACTGTTTCTATGAGTTCAGCTTGTATTTCATCTACATTCCATATAAATAATACCACAGTACGTGTTAGTTTTCAGCTGGCTATTTCACCTAGCATAATACACTCCAGATTCATACGTGTGTTCTCATAAAGGCAGAATTTCCTTCCTTTTTATGGCTGAATAATATTCCATTGTGTATATTTTCTTTATTCACTCATCCACTGACCTTTAGGTTGTCCTCCTATCAAAAATTGGTCCAGCTTCTAGGTGTACTTACCGTATCTTGATTATTGTGAATCGTGTTGCAATAAACATGAGAGCGCAGATATCAACTCAAGATGTGATTTTATTTCCTCCAAATGTATATCCAGGAGAGGCACTGATAGACCATATAGTTCTCCTCGTCATTGTTTGAGAAACCCCCATACTGTCTTCCATAATGCCTATACCAACTTACATCCCCACCAGCAGTGTACATAGGTTCTTTATCTTCACAAACTTACCAACATTTATCACTTACCTTTTTTTAATAATAAACATCCCAACAGGTGTAAAGTAATGTCTCATTGTGGCTTTGGTTTGCATAACCCATATAATTAGTGATGTTGAGCACCGTTTTATGTTTCTACAGGCCATTTGTATGTCTTTGTAGGAAAAATGTCTGTTAGGAGGCTTTGCCCATTTTTTAAATGGGCTGGGTTTTTGGTATTGAGCCTTAAAAGTTCCTTATGTAATTTCGGTATTAACCTCTTTTCAGATATATGGTTTCCAAATATTTTTGCCCATTCCATACGCTGTTTTCTTATTTTATGGACTGATTCCTTTGGTGTACAGAAGCTTTTTAGTTGATGTACTTCCATTTGTTTATTTTTGCTTTTTTGTGTGTGGTTTTGGTGTCCTATCTATGAAATCCAAGACCAATGTTATGAGGCTTTTCCCCCTTTTTCTTCTAGGAGCTTTATGGTTTCAGGCTCCACATTTAGGTCTTTGATCCACTTCAAATTAACTTTTGTGAGTGCTGTAAGGTAGTCCAGTTTTATTCTCTTCCCTGTACATATCCAGTTTTCACAACACCATGTATTAAAGACACTCTCCCTATTGTATGTTCTTGGCACTCTTGTCAAAGATTAGTTGACCGTATATATGTAGGTTTATTTCTCTCTATTCTGTTCCATTGTTCTATGTGTTTGTTTTTATGCCAGTACCATGCTGTTTTAATTACTAGAGCTTTGTTATATAGTTTGAAATAAGGCAGTGTGATGTCTCCAATTTTGTTTTGCTCAAGTTTGCCTTGGTTATTCTGGGTCCTTTTTGGTTCCATATGAATTTTTTTCCTGTTTTTGTGAAAAATGCTACTGGAATTTTGATAGAGACTGCATTGAATCTATAGATTGCTTTGGGTAGCATGGACATTTTTAACAATATTAATTCTTCCAATCCAAAAACACAGGGTATCTTTTCATTTATTTGTATCTTCTTCAATTTCTTTGATGAGCACCTTATAGTTTCAGTGTATAACTCTCTCATCTTTTTGTTTAAATGTATTCCTATGTACTTTATGCTATAGTAAATATAATTGCTTTCTTAATTTCTCATTCTGATAGTTCAATGTCAGTGCATCGAAACAGAGGCAACATTTGCATGTTGATTTTGTATCTTGCAACTTAAACTAAATGTCATCATCGGTTCTAACACCTTTTTTCCTGAGTCTTTAGGAGCTTCCATGACAAGATCATGTCATCTGGAATTAGAGACAGTATTACTTGTTTCTTTCAGGTTTGGGTGCTTTTTATTCCTTTATCTTGCCTGATTAACCTTGCCAGGACTTCCAGTACTGTGTTAAATAGAGAGCAGGAGGTGCTTGTCTTGTTCCTAATCTTAAGAAAAAAGCCTTTTAGCTTCTTACCATTAACTATAATGTTCGCTGTGGGCTTGTTATAAAGGCCTTAACTATGCTGAGATACACTCCTTCTCTAATTTTTTTAGTTTTTACCACAAAGGTTTGTTGAATTTTATCAAACGTTTTTTGCCTCTGTTGAGATCCCATGACATTTCTGGCCTGAGAATTCAGGGCTAAGCAAGAATGAATTAACCTTGAAAGAATTAGAGAGAGAATAAAACTCTTTATATTCCCAGGCCACACCTTGACTAATAATTCTCTCCCCCAAAATGATCTGTGCTGCTTCTTTTCCTCTCATTATCTCAGTTTATTTTAGGGACAATCATCAAGCTGTTATGTAACATGTTCCAGTGTCCTGGGACTAAAGGTCCCGTTGACTGAGTGAGCGAAACAGGGTAATTATAGATCCAAAAAAAGCCCACATGTCAAACGGAAGCTGAACCAGTAAAAATGTGGAGGAAGGGCAATCAATGAGCAAAAAGGGAGACTAAGATGAGAGTCACAGAAGCCAACAGAATAGAAGAGGAGGGAGCGACTCGGCATTTTAAATACTCTCGTGAAATCATATAGATGAAGGAAAAGACGGGTTAATAACAGCTGTTTTTGATGATGTTGATAAGGAGCAACAAACCCCACATTTAATGTCAGGGTGAGGGAGAATGACCAGCTAAGGACACCTTGGTTCATGGTACCTTGAATGCCCTAAATAAACATCCGTTCATAGTGAGGGTTAAGCGGTAGAACAGAAAGCTGGACGGCATCTAGTTAAAGCCACAAGGTAGAGAGAGAAAAGGTGAAAGAGAAAAGATTCCTGTGAGCTCCATATAATCAGAATTACAGATGGCATAATGTTAGTTTATTCTGAAACTTATTCGCTGTAAAAGGGCTTTCACATTGTTAAAGCCACCCAAATGTTATCAATTTTTACAGGAATCATCTCTAAGTCAGCTTTCCCTGACTCCCTGCTAGAAACACTGTGTGGGAGAAATGAACACAGACATACATCAGTGACCCACAGCTGGGCAGCCGGTGTCGTCCACAAACATATTTATCAAGGTGCCTATCTGAGTTCTTAGAAATCTCTTTTCTTACTTAGTTATTTTTTAAAGAGTATTGAGTTTATTGGGGTCACATTGGTTAATAAAACTATGTAGGTTTCAGGAGTACAATTCTATAATACGTCATCTGTACACTGTATGGTGTGTTCGCCACCCCAAGTCCAGTCTCCCTCCATCACCATTCATCCCCTTTCCCTCTGGGAATCACCCTGCTGTTGTCTGTGTCTGTGAATTTTTTTTTTGCTTAATCCCTTTACCTTTTTCACCAAGCCCCCAACTCTGATAAGTAGGTTAATGTGAGTCTGCTAAAATATGACAAAATGTCGACTGTAATTATTTTATGATTGTAACATTATGGGATTTTTTTATGCCCTTCTGAGTTTTCAAGTGGATTATTTACTACGGTTTTACCAAAAATGATTGAATGGTAAGAATTTATAAAGGTAAGAACAACGCCACACACTTGGTTATTTCTCTGGGTATATATGTGTTTAATTCAAATTTCATAATTTGGATTCAGCGTGAATGGCGATAAATGGATCTTCAGCAGAGTTACTGATGGAAAAGTAGGCGTTGCCATCCCCAGAAACATAGACTTCAATTCCCGTGCACTGGTCGTCAGCGACTTTATCTCCAGAAATAACATCACAGTATGTGCCAGCGGGAAGGCCCGTTTGCAACGTCATAGACAATGGCCTGTAGAACAAAAGCTAAGATTTAACTTGACATCGACACAATTCAAGGCAAGAATACAGATGACCTCTGAAACACGGGGCAGAACCGGAATAGTCAGGGGCTCCGCGCTAACAACTACCCACAAAGACCTCTGGGCGCAGGGGGGCGGTTTCCTGGGCAACAGAAGCAGTCTTACAGAAGACTTCATGATTTCGAGTCGCTAGTGAGCATCACAGGAAACGGAGGGTGAAGACTATCAGTGAGGACGGGAGTCGTGCTGCCCCCACGGGATAAAAGTACTTCTTGTGGCAAATGCAAATATTTTAAATGTGCCCCCATCTCAACTGAAGAAAATGCAAGTTACTGTCAAACCATTAAGTTGGTTATTTCTTCAAAAAACTCTTCTGTTTTCAAGAGGCTACAATGCATTTGGGCTAAAGATAAAAACAACCTAATATTTCTTTGAAGAAGTACATAGGGTTTTTTTTGTGATTTTTAATTTTAATTGGTGTTCAAGTACAGTTTTCTGGCTTTTCCCCTCACCCCAACCCACCCCCTCCCATTCCCACCCACCCTGTTACTGTCCATGTGTCCTTTATATTTATTCCTGCAAACCCTTCCCCTTTTCCCCTGAAATTCCCTCCCCTCTCCCCTCTGGTCCCTGTCAGCCTGTTCTCTATTTCAGTGTCTTTGGTTATATTTTGCTTGTTTGCTTTGTTTTGTTGATTAGGTTTTAAATATAAAGCTGTCTCATACATTTATATTGGCTCTCCCAAACATAAAAGACAGAAATTGAAGGACTAGCCACTGATTCTTTCAGCAAGAGAGATACATTCGATTAATTTTGTTTTGTCAGTAAAACACAATTCAAGCTCGGATGAGCTAAGCGTGAGTGGAAGCCATCCCTGGGCAGACACTGTGACGGCCTGAGCCATCGTTCTGGTCTCAAATGGAACACTTAAAACTCTCCTAACAACATTGTTTACCATAAGATACATATTCTTTACACCTGTGCTTAAAAAAAAAACACAAAAACACTGTCACAGAGAGAGAGGAGTGAAGACAAAGGCCAAAGAAACAGATAGAAGAAGAGTTGAGAGAAAGAGCTAGAAAAAGAAGGTATTTCAGTACCAACGCTGTAGCTCTCCACTGCTGCATTTAAATGAAAGAGGGTCATAGGACAGCTTCTTCCAGTGACGTCACAACCTGCGTACGAATGACTGTGTCTCGAGTGAGGTGGGCACGTGAGCGGATACGAGGCGCACGATGCGCAAGGTGCGCAAGGTGCGCAAGGTGCGCAAAACTCACTCTGCTCCGCCCAGAAATCCCTTACAAGGAGGCGGTCAGAGGCGTAAGAGCCTTCATCATTCACTTTTCTGGGTCCTTTTCTGATCTCTCTGTTTCTAATCCACTGACTAAAGACTTTTTCAGATACAAAAAAGTAAATGAGCAGACGGAGAAAAGAACAAACCCAGCGCGCACGCGTATGAATCATAATGTCTAATGGGCACCCACTTACCAGTCGTCATTGTTAAAGACGATGAACCCTCTGTTGCCTCTGCCGAACGCTACCTGGTTGCTGCCGTTGTCCCACCAATTTGTAAACGGCTGGCCATCGACGACGTTGCGAAACATCACCATGTTCCTAAACACGAAACAAAGTGCCATGGCGATGGATACTTCAACAGTTTAAAATAGAAGGCAGAAAAAGTTTAATAATTTGTTTTTTAAAAATTGTTGTTCAAGTGCAGTTGTCTCCATTTCCCCACCACCGCTTTCCCCCACGCCGCCCACCCCCACCCCCCAATTCAGAGAACGCCCCTAAAAAGGTCCTCCCACCTGATCTGACGCCAACGGTGCTCACAGACCCAGTCATTGCCACAGGTGGTGTCCGGATTAATAGTCACTTCTTTAATTACTCCATTATTATTTGGTGGACCGATCCAATCGTTAACATCCTTAATTAGCAGAAAAAATTAAAAATGTGCAGATCTGAAACGTTAACTAGTTCTACCTCTTCCCTCTCCAGAACACCCCATCTAATCTGTCCTGTTTGTGCCCTGGAGGGTCTGCACTGAAAATCCAGCTCCTTCAGTAAAGCCCCCCCACTGAGTCCTCACCAGCTTCCCTCCAACTTCTCGGTTCCTGGAGCCAAACTTCAAAAGAAATTTGTTTTATCCTCTCACTTTCTTTCCCAGAAATTGCAATGGCTTCTTACATCACTACACGCAGGGCCATGTCACTGAGACAGCTAGGAGTTTAGTGTCAGAAACGACAGAATGAAAACGTTTTACTACTGAGAAAGCTCAGTCGATATACGTAATTTCTCTGTGTCTTATTTTCTTCTTCTGTGAAATAGGAATATTGTTGAGATGCTATAAAATTAAATAACATGCAAAATGCCTTAAATACAGTAATTACTAAGTAAATCTAAGAACAGTGCCCTTCATTCTTCCTTTTGGATAAATGCATCCAGCAAGACATCACCACACTCTCATTTGAGCACAGGTTTAAGGCTCCGTTTTCCTGGCTGGTACTTTGTAAGATAAATGTAGGAAACTTACAGATTATGTCCAGGAAGCTTCTCACTGTGTGTCTTAAAGGTCACGTGATGAACAGTGGCCAAAGCTAAGATCCTTTGGCAGAAGTGTTAGGAAAGTGGAAATGTTATGAGAAAAACGGAAATGGACGTGGTCTATGACTCCTGACGTCAGAAATAAGACCAATTGATGGAAATCTGCAGAAGTTGGCTCAATAAACAGGGACGTCTAAATAGTGAACCTGTCTAACAACAGAATGGGTGAGTTGCTATACAGAGTAGATTCCTTTCTCACAGTGAAAGGAATCTGGGACAAACTAGAGAAACATCTGTGTCCTTTGTAGGGAAGAAGGTTGTCTCCTTCAGCTGTGAGGTTGCTGATGATGCTACAGCTGAAACCGTCACCTTAAAGAGAACAGTTTCCGCTACCTTTCTAAATACATTTAAAACGTGATTTTCAGTTTCTTCTAAAAATGTTTAGTCAGATTAACGCCTTTCCCTAAGATTTCCCCCCATACTAATCTTCCCCAGGATAGTCGGCAAGTTTACCTTCTTCAATACATGCATTTTCTTTCCTGTAAAATGCCTTGCCTGTTGAACCTCAGGTCAACGCGATGCTGGTTTTGCCTTTCATAGAACTTTTTAAAAGTATATAACCAGTACTTCTATTGCTATGGGCAGGTACTGCTTTAAGTTCCTTACAAGTTTGTTCATTTGCCATTCACAAACCAGCCCTGTAAAATGGGTTCTGATGAGGGGTACGCATTAAACTCCCTGTATCCTCTTTTTCGAGTGTTTTGGGGAAGTAAGGAGGTATGTTTGTCCTATTTCTGAAACACCTTACATACGAGCTGAGAGCAGAGACCACAAATTGTAGTTTTTTAGTATCCGCTGCATTGCCACGAATCCTGTGTCAGGCTTTACACTAATACACCCCATCAATGACTCACTCACATATTGGTATCATGTGAAGTCAGAACAAAACTGCCCTCCTTTTCTGGAGACACAAAGATTCTGTACAACAGCAGTACTCACTTTTCCGTTCTCGAAATACCTGGGCCAGCGGAAGCTCGACATCACTCGTGCGAACCCGTAAGGGTGGGCGAGCATGAAGCCCACGCCCATTTTGTACAGTCTGAAAGTCACAAAACGGTGTCGTCACAGCAGAGAACGACGTTGTTAGTGTGACAGAAAGGTAGGAGGAGACAAAACAGAGAACGGGTGCCTACCGCGAGTCCCAGAAGGTGAGGATGGAGGCCCCCCCGGCCCCGTGTCCCCGCTGGTTGTCGTGGTTGTCCACGAAGACGAGCGCCCGGTCGGAGGGCACGAAGCCCCAGCCCTCTCCCCAGTTCCTGTTCAGACACACGGGTGCCCTTCAGAGAAAGCTCCACACGCACTTCCCCCACCGTGGAACCCCGCAGGGAATTCTCCAGTGAAAAGGATGCAATTTATCTGTACAGGGGTGGGCAAGCGTAGGTTTGCAGTTGTGAGTTTATATCTGTTTGACTATGTATTAATTATGGCATCGTTTATTTGGGTTATTTCTATATTAAGAACTGTAAACCCACATTTGCCCATCCTGGCATATACACTGTGTACATATAGCTGTGCTATCTACACATACATTCCATGGGTAAATATATAGCTATACATATGCATGAATTACTTTATCACATTCATGTTACAGGCATTTTTGCTATTGAAACAAGTCCTTTTAGAAGCTTTAGTGCGGTACAATTTAAATGGACACCAGGAGGGACAAATCCACATCATACTATATAGATCGGCACAACCAAGACTTCAACACTGTCCTTCTATAATAGCAATATTTTAAAATCTGCAGTAAACGGGTGGAGTAAATGTAAACTCCACAGTGTGGCCATGCTGTGGGGACTTCATAGGTGGCAGAGTCACCTGAATAACCACCTGGGCCTCACAGGTTATTGGGCGACAGCGAAACCGGGTGCGACGGTGTAACACACAGATCGAAACCTCCCGGGGGTGGTCTGCGTGCTTTTCTAGACCTACTTCCTGCGATTGACCTTCTAAGTAACAACAACGATCGATTCGGGTTTGGGGAACTGGAACACTTGTTACTGGTAACAGACTCCTCGAAAGTGTTAGTCTAAATAAGGTCTGAATAAGACAACTCCTGTTGGGGTGATAAGCTGTATAACGGGTCTATGAAGGGGTTCGAAAGGCAAATCGTATTTCGTTTACTTCAAGTAGGCCATCTTCTCTCCATCCCACTTGCGCAGAACCGTGCCCAGCTTTGCGCCGTACTTGAATTCCGTCACGCGGCCATTCTCAAAGTACTCGCTGCTTTTGATGGGCTCACCACCCAGATCGATTACCTAGAAGGAATAGAGGGGAAAACATCATTCCGGGTTAGCATTTTTGCCAACCAGTGAATGCTACATAGCAAATGGCTTGAAACTCTTCGCGTTTTTTGAAATGCCCCAAGTGACTGTCCTTATGCCAAGATTCCTGTTTACGACGACCTGGAAAGTGCCCTGACCAGGCGACCTGCCGTCCTGCGGGAACGCTGACCTTGTTCGGTCTCGCACATAAATAACATGGCCGATGACATTTCTAAGTGCTCGATAAATATCAATGCATCTAACTTTCTGACAAAAACACAGACGTAACTATTATCACTATCTCCTCTCCTCACATGACATAATTTCTGCGTAGGGAGATAAATCAACTCGCCTACAAGAACACAGCTAACAGTGCTGCAGACAAGATTTAAACCACAGAGACCGGCGCAAGGCAGCAGCTGTATTACTGTCTGTCTCCTGAAATGGTCTCCGGGGAGACGGGGAATAGCAAAGAGCTGTTTGCAGCCTAAACGAATTCTCTGCCTGCCCTTCCTGAAAACCCCTTGTGATAAACAGCGAGTTCGATGAAGAGCAGCCTCTGAATGAAAGATGAAAGGATGTTCTACACAGCTGGTTCCCGTGCTACAGCAATGATTCAGTGATTAACCCGCAGAAGTTATATTTTTCATGAAACCCGCCGTTTATTTTCCACCGACTTAGGTGATCGTGTACAGGTACATAGACCTGTTGACGTACCTCCTGGTAAATGAAGGGTTTACTGCCTTCCGGGAACCAGGTTGTGTTCAGGTGATGCAGCTGATCCAACACGGCCTTCATGTCTCCGGGCCACATGTGCTTGGAAGCGTCTATCCTGAACCCTGCCACGCCGATGTCAATGAGGTGGTTGAGGTACTCAGCAATCTTGGAGCGCACATAGTCTTTCTCCAGCGCGAGATCAAGTAGACCTGACAGACGGCAGTCTCTGACCTGTTGGGGCGAAAATTTGTTTGGTGGGTGCAAGAAACATCGTGTCTACCTGAGAATCCACAGGCTCAGGTGTATTCACTCATGTATTCATCAGTGGAAATTCCTGTAGTGTCTTCTTCGCATTGGGCTCTGGGGCCATGGACATTCTAGTCTGGACATACCTGGGAAATATTTCCTATTATGAAAATGGAGAACGTAGGCAGTAAAGTGGATGGGCTTTTTAATGGGGAGAGACTAAGTGGAGGAAAGTTTTAAATCTTGATTTGAGTTTCTTATTTTTCAACAGTCATGCCTGCAATCCTGCTTTCTTGGGGAATCTAAGCTAGAATTTCAGTGGGGATGGATGAGTTCTATGTAGACAGTGAAAGGTAGAGAGAGCTCTTTTACAGAATGCTGGGGGTTTTTTTTTTGTAGCTACCTGGTAGAGATCATTGTAGTTCTCGATGTCCCCACTGCTAGTTCTGCACTTGCCGTCATTGAAGTCCCACCCAGAGAAGGGCACTGCGGGGAAGTCCCTGGTTCCAGGGTTGAAGTAGCTCCCACACGTGCTGCTGGTCCCCGCAGCCACGCCGTTCCCACACATGTGGTTGATCACAGCGTCCACGTAGACACGGACCTGAAAGGCAGCATTTCCAGTTCACGATGGTTGGCAGCCGGGCAGAAATCCATGATCTATTAGTGATTGAACTTTACAGCATGTCCACAGCACCCCTACTATTTGGGACTTTGAGAGGACCAAGAGTGAAGTGTGACAGGAAGTCAAGGTGAAGGCCCACCTGCACGCATTCTAGTCACCAGGCCAAATGCTGACATTTAATGGTAAATCAACAGCCCCAGAAACTAAACCAGAAGCTATCATAACTATGAGAACATGCAAAGAGCCTTTATTTTGGGGGTGGGGGGTAGGGATAAGAATAAGTTGAGACAGCAGGAATTACTGATTTTTGAAATCTCCATGGCTCATCCTCACAAAGCAACCAGACTCAACTATTATCTCTCATTATGCTCCTCGTCAAAGACATTGTATCTATTTATCATCCAAAAAACCCATGGGGAGGAAGACTCAGGACTTAGAGATGGAGACACATGCCACATACAAGTGGCAGCTAATATTATAACTGGAAGTTCCCATTTCTAACTGGAAAGTACTCCCTGGAAAAGTGTGTAGTGATAAGGGTTAAAAGTTGATATTTGCTTTATAAGTAAGATAGCTTTACACAGGGACTTGTATCTTTAGGAGATAAATGTCACATACACAAAGATTTACAAAACTGGACAATAAGCAACAATTAAATTTTAGTTATAGCTGAAGTAGAAAGTAAAATAAAAAATATGGAATACGGTCTGCTCAGAAGGAGCGAGAAACAGGAGAGAGAAGGTATTTTTTTTACACAATAGTTTTAAAGAAACTGAATTCACTTACACCAACATTGTTACATCGAGTGACCATGTCTCTGAATTCGTCTTCGTTTCCTGATCTAGTGCATAACTTGTAGCTGATTGGTTGGTACCGTTCCCACCACGGCCTCGAAGGTTGATTAATGACAGCATTTTCATTGGGTGGAGAGATCTGCAAATAAAATCATCTCAGGTATCAAGTTACGGCTTACTTTGTATCACTGGATATTCTAGAAAAGCATCAAAGATCTAGAATTGTTTCTGACTCTATAAACCGCTACATATGTTTACTATTATTAACAGTTTGTGGCAAATAGCCTACTGAAGTAAGTATAGCAGAAACAAAACGTAAACGTTGCCGACAATACTAAAGTTTGTATCTTCCGCATGAAACTCCTTCTTTTAGGCTAGGTATGTATGAAGTAAATAGTCCCTGCTTCGCCCACACAGATCCTGCTATTTATTCACTGTAAGCCTAGCAAACTCCACAATTCATATTGTGAACAGCACCCACCTGAACTCCTCCAAATCCTTTGGGAGCCAAGTATCGCTCACATTCAAGGGCAATGTCAACCCAACGCCACTCGAACAGATGAACGATGGAGGTCCGTCCAGCCTTGGTATTCGGGTTGTACTGTGCCCAGCAGAGCCCAATGGCGGAAAGCAAGAGAAGGAACTTCATTTTGCTTTGAAGGTGTCTGTGTTCTTTCCAGCGGCTATTTATACTCCTGTCAGAGCATATTTTACAAAGTCAATGTTAATAGACACGAATACTCAGAGCACACAATGTTCATCCATAATCTGGAAAGCGTTATTAATAATAGCCTGAACAAATAAAGAATATGCATAAAATCTTCCAGGAATAGAATCTAGATGACCTTCCGGAGCTTAATGTTTTCCTTATTGAGGGAATATTAACCTTTTTAAACATCTGGCCTTTCGTAGGCTTAAAAAAGGAGTCCTTAATCATGTATTATTTATTTAGGATTAGATTTTATTTCTGAAACCCTTCAAGGTTAGAAGGAAAATCACAAACAGAGCCGACAGCATTCATAGTCGAATTATCGCTTTCACCATCTATTTGCAAACATTCGTACTGTCTCAACTTCAAAAAGAAAGAGGACGTTCAGTTCGGTTCTGTTCCTCATTCCCAGCCCAAATTTTCAGCTACTAAAATCTCTGCATTGCAACTTAAGAAAGCACTTGGAAGTGGAACATCCATGCATTTTCCCTCCAGGAAATCACGTACTTAATGTAGTGGGTAGACTAGTTAGTGGTGTGTGAGCGCTTCTTTGTCTTTATCCTCGCCCAAAGCAGCCTCACATCTCCAGCAGATACGGCTCTATTTTTTTAACATGCAAATGAATTCATCTTGACCAAGAAGAGACAAGGTGTCTGCTCTTGTCATTTGTTGTTGTTAGTCTAGATGCTTCATAAATATCTTTATAGCCAGTAACTTAGTAAAAGGATTGTTAAAAATTTCAATAGAAATACCTTCAGTTGAACCTCCATGTCTGTTATTTGATCACTTACATTGCTCTCTGGGTGTTTTTGTTTTGTTCTATTTTCCCTGTTATCCATATTCTAGAGCTTTAGGGAGTTACATTACTGTACTTGGTCAAGGTAGTGCTTTCTTTTACTGAACAAAGTCATAATCCCTCTAAATTTTACATTGAATCTCATGTACAATTTTCTTAACGCGCTCTCCTGGGGCCTAGGAGCACCCCCTCCCCCCACACACAAAAAAAGAAAAACTAAATGAACCCGAGCTCAGATCAATAAGTCACACGTGAGTGTTTGAGAAAAGAAGGCAGATAATCAAGTTTGCCTACCAGGTTTCTGACACGAGAGAAAGACTTCAAGTGACGGTTCAGATGCATTTCAAATATAAACAGTACATTTTGTCCTGCTGGGAGCTGCAACTTCACTTGCCAACAAACCTAAAATAGACTGTGAAACTTCGTACTATATCATATCATATGACAAAACCTATTTATTACAAGATAAAAGTGGGGAAGGGATTGTATAATACTCCCCCCCCCAAAAAAATTAAAATAACTCACCACCTCCACTTCTTTCAGTTGGCAATCTCTCAAAACTTCAGTTCAGTCTTTTTCAATTATAAAGTTTTAAAGTGTTCTTTCTCTTCAATTAGGTGGGGTGGGGGGGAGCTGAATGTAAGACTTCACAGATTTGCTGTAATCCTCTTCCTTCCAGCAGGTCTTGCATTCTCTGAATCTGATTCGTACAAAGTCTAACCAGAGCTTCACAATGAGGTCAGCTTAGTCCGCCTCCCTCGCCACCCTCGCTTGCAGCCCCACCATGGCTTTTGATTGCACAGTAACAATTTGCTTTCTCTTTGCCTGACTGCCTTTTCTCAATGTCCTCGCCCCATCTCAACAACTCCTTGTTTTCCGGGCTATTTATAGTAATCCACTGGGGAAAAAACAGTTTGCTAAAATAACCTCAGTGACCTGAAGGGCAGATGAGAACCTAATTGTGTGAAATTATTCAGAAACATAATTATGACTAGAATGGAAACAAAGTCTCTAAAAGCAGGAAACTAAAACTAATTTTGGATTCAAGCTTTGCCATTGACTGCATGAACCAAGCTTAATAGTAATCTATTAAGTCTATAGATTACTTTTAGATCCTCACTGAGAAAATGAGAATAATAGTATTGTTGATATGATAAAAATGCAGAATAACTACAAACAATGAACAACATGCATGGAGGGCTGCTGTGCACCATTTCTGTGTTCCCACTTTGAGTTCTGACAATACGTAAATGAAGATACAGTTAGGACTGTCCACAGTTTCAAAAGGAAGCGTCTGAGGCACGGAGAAGCTAAATGTCCACAGTGAAATGTTCACAAATGCTGAGACTGCCAATCAAAACCGAGCACTTTGCACAATGAGCTCTAAGCCACAGCCCGGTCTTTCAGTTTCTGTCCCTGGATTGTTACAAAAATACAACAGAATATTGTCTGTGAAGCTATTTTGGAATCTGGAAATTTCTTTTGCTAATCCATTTAAAAGACTAAAGAGATATAGTGAGGGTTAGTCTCTTGGTTTTTATCTTCCAAATTTTCACTCTAAGAAAATTAATTTTGCCTTCTTAGTTTTTATTCCTGACCTTCTATGCACCCTCCAAATGTTTTGTTGTTCATAAATATTCAGCACTCCCCCCTGCGGGTGTGGAATCCGGGAGTGTCCACGTGATTGGCTGGGGCAATGAAATGCAAGCACAGGGATGTTCTGCTGAGGCCCCGTGACTGGGAAAGCACGTGTCCAAACGCAGTTTTGCTGGCAGAGTGTAGAGTCGCTAACGCGAAGACTCCGGCCCTTGTTGGGTGAGGTTAACAGAAGAAATACACTTGCTTATTGTAAGCCAGAGATTTTTAGGCTTTTTTAATTATTACTGCAGCATAACCTATTTTTTTCTGATACAACCACTAAGTTCCCATAAACTCTGAGTCAAAACACATTCAACATGACATTTGTTTTCTCTTGGGATGTGGGAAGTCAAGGGTAGAAGCAGAGGACGAAAGAATGTCAACATTGTAAGAGACTATTAGAATAAACTAGTCCAGTGATTTCCAGAGTTCAGCTCTAAGTAGTCACATCTCAAAGAAATACATAAAAATATTTTTCCTGGCTGGCGTAGCTCAGTGGATTGAGCACAGGCTGCGAATCAAAGGGTTGCCAGTTCGATTCCCAGTCAGGGCACATGCCTAAGCTTGCGGGTCAGGTCCCTGGTGTGGGGCCATGTTAGAGGCAACCCCACACTGATGTTTCTCTCCCTCTCTCTAAAAACAAATAAGTAAAGCCTTTAAAAATTTTTTTAATTAAAAAATATTTTAATACAAAAGTTATAAAATTTAGTTTTATTTAGAAATCTACTATCAATACATTGTTCTGGTTTCTTTTTGTCATTTGGAGCTGCTTTTCTAAACCTAATCTTAATTGTATCGATACAGAAAATGAGAGCTAGGAATGAGACAAGGAGCATTTGCATTATACAAATAACCACTGAGAGAATAACAAAACTGTGACGTCAGCACCACAGTGGCACGAATCGTACTTTTTTTGGCTCCTCTTGGATTTGCAACTCACTGGCCATAGGTAACCAAGCCCAAGTGCCTCTCTGCACATTATGTCAGGAGACCTGGGAGACCTCTACCCACGTGTGAACATGAAGCAGGTAAAAAGTGCTTGTGGGAGTGGAGGACCTCGGTGAGCTGCCCAGGCAGGAAGGAGCGGAACCTGGAGTGTGCACGACCGGACGGACACTCACAGGAGATGGGGAATATGTGGGGTCTAAAAAATAAAAATAAAAAAGGTGCAACTTATAGCCAGATAGGAGAAAAGTGCTTTCCTAGGACTTGGGGGAAATACGACAAGTTCGGTAAAAGAAGACCAACTTTTAGTTACCGAATGAGTAAGGTCTGAGGATGTAATACAACATGGTGACTGACTGTAGTTAACATTGTTGTGTAACTGAAATTTGCTGAGAGAACCTAAAGGTAAATGTGTGAAAAGATGGGTATAACAATGAACTGCATGGTGTTCACTGTGGGTTTTTCACATAGAGCTTTCACTGTTTAAATAGTCTCCTTCTCTGTCCAGCTTGTTCATGAAAGCTTTCATCATGAAAGGGAGTCGCATGGGTCAAATGCATTTTCTCCATCCGTTGAGATAATCCTGTTTTGTCCTTCACTGTTTTAAAGTAGGCTGTTAACAGTGATAAATCTTCGTATGTCGAGCCATCCTTGCATTCCAGAAATAGATCCTGCATGAACGTGATGTATAAGCCTTTTGCAATGTGCTGCTGAGTTCAGTCTGCTGGTACTTTGATGAGATTTTTGCATCAATAATCATGAGATCTTGGCCTGTGGTGTTTGCTCAGCTTTCATGTCAGAGTAATGTTAGTCTCATAGCACACGTCAGGAAGTGTGCCCTCCCCTTCAGTTTTGGGAAAAATATTTAAGAAGGATTGGTATGGCTTCCTTAGATTTTTGATTACAGATACAACCTCCTTACTAGTTGTAGGTTTATCCAGAATTCTTATTGCTTTGTTATTTAGTTTTAGTAGGTTATATATTTCTATGAATTTGTCCATTTCATTTAGTTACCTAATTAATTGGCATAGAATTCTTCATTGCACTATCTTTTTATTTCTGTAAAATACGCAGCAATATCCCATTTCCATTTCTGACTTTAGTAACTTCTTTTGTCCATCTAGCTGAAGGTTTGTTGTTGCTGGTTTCTTTCAAATGGTCAGCTTCTGGTTTCATTGATTTTCTCTTCTCTATTTCATTTACTTTTTTTTTATTTTTACTTTTTAATATATTTTTATTTTATTGATTATGCCATTACATTTGTTCTATTTCCCCCCTCCATTCCCCTCCACCCTGCCCACCCCTCCCCCACCATTCCCCCCTTTTAGTTTATGACCACGTGTCTCAAGTTCTTTAGATTCTATATTTCCCCTACTATTCTTACCCTCCCCCCATCTATTTTCTATCTACTGTCTATGCTACTTATTTTCTGTACCTTCTCCCCCCCTTCTCCATCTCCCACTCCTCTGTTGCTAACCCTCCACGTGATCTTCATTTCTATTGTTCACTCCTGATCTGGCTGTCCTCTTAATTTGCTTTTGTTTTAGGTGTGGTTGTTGATAACTGTGAGTTTGCTGTCCTTTCACTGTTCATCTTTTTTATCTTCTTTTTCTTAGGTAAGTCCCTTTAACATTTCACATAATAAGGGCTTGGTGATGATGAACTCCTTGAATTTGATCTTATCTGAGAAGCACTTTATCCGCCCTTCCATTCTAAATGAAACCTTTGCTGGATAGAGCAATCTTGGTTGTAGGTCTTTGGTTTTCATGACTTGGAATACTTCTTTCCAGCCCCTTCTTGCCTGTAAGGTGTCTTTTGAGAAATCAGCTAACAGTCTGATGGAAAGTCCTTTGTAGGTGACTGTCCCCTTATTTCTTGCTGCTTCTAGGATTCTCTCCTTCATTTTAATCTTGGCTAATATAATTATTATGTGCCTTGGTGTGTTCCTTCTTGGGTTCAACTTCTTTGGGACTCTCTGAGCTTCCTGGATTTCCTGGAAGTGTATTTCCTTTGCCAGAATGGGGAAGTTCTCTGTTATTATTTGTTCAAATAAGGTTTCCACTCGTGACTGTTCCTCTTCCCCTTCTGGTACCCCTATAATTCGGATGTTGGAGCGTTTAAAGATGTCCTGGAGGTTCCTAAGCCTCTCCTCATTTTTTTTGAATTCTTGTTTCTTCATATTTTTCTGTTTGGTCATTTTTTCCTTCCTTCTGGTGTACTCCCTTGATTTGAGTCCCAGTTTCCTTTCCATTACTATTGGTTTCCTGTGCATTACCATTCATTTCAATTAATTTAGCCTTCATATGTTCCTGTAATTTGTGACTAAAATCAACCAGTTCTGTGAGCATCCTGATCACCAGTGTTTTGAACTGTGCATCTGAAAGTTTGGCTATTTCTTCGTCACTTAGATTTATCGGCTCTGGGGCTCTGAGCTCTTCTTGAGCCATGTTTTGATCTGTTTGTGCCTGTTACATATGAGTAGAGGCACCTCAGGCATTCACCAGGGCGAGGCCACCCAGGTCGCTGGTTTGTGACGCTGCGTGTGGGGGCGGGGTCAGAGGGGGAGCTATGGCAGTGCTCTCCACTCGGCCAGTCCGTCCCACCACTTGCCCCACCCTGCGCTGTGCGGTCTCAATGCTCGTCTCTTCACTGGTTTATCTGTGGGCAAATACTCCACCGACCGCAGACAGCCAGCTGTGCCTCTTCCCTGTGTCCGTCCATAGCAGCCCACACCTGGGATCCGTGCCCTCGGCTGCCTGTGCACCTCCCAGGTCAGGGGATCTTCCCTGCCCCGCCCGCTCGGCTGCTGGTTTCGCCCCTCTCACCGGTTTAGCTGAGCATTTTGTTGTTTTGGGACTCCATATTGTCGATATTGTGTGGTATGGTTGCGTTTACTGTTGTTAAAACTTTGTTGTTTTTAGGTTTGGTTGTGCGAGGACGCAAAGTGTTTCCACCTACTCCTCCATCTTGGAGGAAGTCTCATTTACTTCTATCTTCTGCTAACTTTGGGTTTACTTTATTCTTTTTCTCGCTCCTTAAGTTGCAAAGTAGGTTATTGATTTAAGATCTTCACTGTTTCTAAGTAATTATAAATTCTCCCCTTCACACCACTTTCAATGCAGCCTCTCATTTTGAACATTCTTTTTGTTTTCAGTTGTCTCTACATATTTTCTAATTTCCCATGTGATTTCTTCTTTGGTCCATTGGTTGTTCAAGAATCATTTCATTTCAATGGATATGGGATTTTTTTTTCTATTTCCCTTTAAA